CTATTTTATTTCCTTGTAATTAATTATTATAAGATTATTAGTAGGAAAAAATTAAAAATAGTATAAAAATAATAGTAATAGTGTAATTCACATAATGTGACTAATTTCATCCACTCGAATGGGTACCATGAATTTTTATTATATATATATATATATATATATATATATATATATATATATATATATATATATATATATATATATATATATATAACACTCCAGTGTGATTAATTTACTACACCCTCTCTCTTGTTTATATTTTTACATCTACCCCCTCATATATATTTTTTTTCTTACATCACCTTTATTTTGGGGTCAAAGACCACATACTCATCTATATTTCGTGAAAAGAGATCTACTGTGTCCTCACATCCTGAAAAAAATATATTTCCGAGACACCACAATCTGATATATATACAAGCCAAAAAACGTATATTATGATCATCATGATTCAAAATGTGGAGTTTGAATGGGATAAAAAGGTACAAAAGTGATAATATTCCGTATAATCTCGAAGATTCCACTAAGTTTGAAACAGCAAGAGTGAAGTGTAAGAAAATTTATAGTTGAGAGGGTAATTGTAATTATCAAAACAAGAGTGCGTTTTTGTAATTTAACCATATCTCAGGGGTAAATGGTGGTTGACCATGCTCCACATATATGATTAACAAATCATAACAAATCAAATCAAATAAATATTATTATCATTAAAATTATTTGATTTGATTGATTTTTGTCATGTTTATTAAAAGTAAATGTTTCCGCCGAATACAAATAAAGGTGCTTGAATCGACGTGCATCACCGTGTGAGCCCTAGACGCTGGATCCTACTTTGTACAAAACCATAAATTACTCTACACAAAACTACAGTACCATAATATTCTTACTAGAAAGAATTCCACCATTACTAAACTCACTACCAATTCTAAAATGAAATTATTAACATTTCCTTGGACATAATATATATATATGCGGATAAATTATGTAAAAATATAAATAATTTTAATATATAATTACATATTTTTTTTTTAAATAATTATTTTTTGAATCATATAAAATATCAGAATTTTGAAAATTTTATGTATATTTTCTAATTCTAATCCATTTTTTTTCCCTGAAAAATCGTGAATCGAAATTTTCGAATCGTAAACGGTGAAATTTATGAATGGTTTACAACTTGCATCACCACTAATTTTCACATTTAAATGAATAAATTAATGTTTCGAAAGTCTCTCTTGTGTTGCATAATATATGCCCCAAATTTCCTTCGTTTTGTAGAAAACTTGCATGAATTACAATCCCATAATTAATAAAAAAAAAAAAAGTTGTTTCATGCAAAGAAAAACAGAATATTGGGTTCTAATATAGAAAGAATAAATTATAAATAGGAGTAAATGGGTGCTGAGATTCTAAAAGAACAAATAAAAAGAAAAATCTAAAAAAAAGCTGTCATCCGTGCATGAAAAAAAACAAATAAAAATAATATTATTATATTGCAATCAAAAGAAACATCAATAATCATGGAAGCTTAAAAGTTGCCAAACATATCAACATCTAAGAATTAATAAACCACTATTATTAAAACAATCATTAATATTATTATATATTATTATTATAATGATGAGGAGGCGGTAGTCCCGGCAATAAGACAACGGCGTCGTTTCAATAATTGGGTGGTACTGCTGGTCGGAAAATATATTTTTTTTCAGTCATTTCTAACAAATCGCCCCACCACCTACATTATTATTCTTGAGATTAATATTATCTTTACCATTTATTATTATTGTTACTATTACTTTATCGCTCGTATGATTAATTATTATTATATAATAATAATAATAATAATAATAATACTAATACTACTACTACCAGCTTCGAGAGGGGCAATTCTTTCCTTCTCCGTAGTTTCCAACACATTTCCTCAACAGCTATGTTGCACGGACACTTTTAGAACGTGAAAAGTCTCTGTATCCGACACCTGGACACTCGGACATGCCCGGACATGGCTCGGACACTCGTGTCGGGCTGTGTCGTAATATCACAAAAGTAGGACAATCATATCGGACAGTGTCCGCAGTTTTTAAAAAGTCGGGACACGACTCTTATGCTTAAAGAGAGAGCCCTAATTAATAAAAATAAAAGATACGCATTTTATTTTTTCTGATTTCTTTGAGAGTCTACCCAAAAGGCAAAAATTGTAGCAACAATGGTGACCAAGAACATGAGCAGCAAGGGCAAGCGGTTCTCTTACGTGATTTGACGACTTATAAATTTTTTTTTTATAATTTATAAATGTACCCCTATATTTTTATAATTTATAAATATACCCATATATTTTTTATATTTCCACGTATATATCCATATCCGCATACTACCGTGTCTGCGTATCCGTGTTAGTGCAACAAGGCTCAACAATTGATCTTCTTCTTTAGTCCATGCACCTTTCCTCACTCCAACTATTCCTCTGTTTTTTTTCCACTGTCTTTCATTTTTTTTTTCAAATATGGCACTGTACGTGTGGACTACTGTATAATATTAATTAATAGACGTGAAATAAAATGGAAGAAACAAATTATAATTAGGGTAAATTACAACCATTTATGAGGTATGATCAAATTACGTTAACCCCCCTCTTGTTTGGATAATTACAACCACCCCCTCAACTCCTCAAATTTATTGGAATCTTTGAGATTATATGGAATATTATCACTTTTGTACCCGTTTTATACCATTCAAACTCTACATATTGAAGCAAAATGATCATAATATGTGTTTTTTGGCTTGTATATATCAGATTGTGGTGCATCAGAAAATGTATTTTTACACGAAATGAGTACAAACTAGAGCACATTCCACGAAATCTAGATGATTATGTTGAATTTGACACTATAAGGGTGGAGGCGTAAGAAAAAATCATAGCTGATGGGGTAAATCATAAATGTAATTATCCAAACAAGAGAATTTTTTTTATAAATTGACCATATTGTAATTTACCCTTATAATTATTATTTAACTTGAAGAACAATATATATATATACGCATGAGTGGTGCTGATGCGTGGTAGTGGTTCTTTTTCTTCTCTTTTTATGGACACTAACACTGTTCATATTTCAATGTTCAGCAACTTAAATGCAGTTTGGTTTCTGTTGCAATCGAACTTAATTTCCATTTAATTGGCAAAGATTTGATCACTACTTTACATCTTTCAGTATCTTTATTTGATTTTTTTTCGTTAATGATATATTATGTGCAGATTTATTCGGTATAATTAAATACCCGATGTAGCATAGAATTTCCCGTCATTTTGTGAGAGTTGGATAATGTGAGCCTATATTTGTGTGGCCGCCGACACGTTTTTATTCCAGTATTATGGCAACAATAATGAGTTATTACTTATTAGTGGCAAATTAAAAAAGAGAATATTTTACGATTGGTCACAAAAGCTGTCATCATCATAACTATATTAGTGGTTTTTAATATTAGAAATATAAGACTAGGAGAAAGTATTTTTTTAAGTTAGTGTACAAAATTTCGTTATATTAGTTGTGTACGCAGCAGCACCAATCATATGTCTATGTGTATATATTTTGACTTTAATTTAAGTTCTAAAATTATAAAAATGTCACCACTCTCAATTTAAATAATTATTAAAATAAATAAATAAAATAATAAAAAAATTGTAGATAGAGAGAAAACATAGTCCATAACGCTAGCCACAATATATTTTTTATTTTTTAATTTTTTTTAATAATTATTTAAACTGGGAGGGGTGGTTTTTTTGTTATTTTGGACTTATATCAAACGGTGTTAATATCAAAAGTCTGAAAACTAACGACGACGAGGGTCACATTGAGACAATTTTTGAAGTACATGGGGCAAATCGATACAATAAAAAGTAGAAGGCGGTAAAGTGATATTGAACCAAAATAAAGGGGGAAAGTGGACCAAATAGTAATCTATGACTCGTTGTATTTTAAGGGCAAATTGTACATCACCCCCTGTAAATTTTTAATTTTCACACTTTAACCCCTAAAAAATTTTAAAAGTGAATGTCCCCCTCTAAAATATTATTCTTATTGTACATTGCCCCGATAGCAAAATTCCGATGGATTATTCATCGGAATTGAGGATTTTTGTTGCACGTTGCCCCTTTAAACGTTACTTTTATTGCACGTTGCCTCCTTAAAAAAATACTTTTTTGCACATTATCTCTTTAAAATGTTATTTTTGTTACACAATGCCATCAAAAAATTGACTTGTGGGACAAAATGCAATCAATATAATATTTCGAAGGGAGAAATCCATTTTCTAAATTTTTAGGAAAGAAGGTGCGAAAAATAGAAATTTATAGAAGGCGAAGTGCATCTTATCCTAATTTTAAAGCGTTGGAAATTATAAAGGTTTTGTTATTTCTTTTCTTTTAATAACAAAGGGATGGTCTAATTTGAAACAGATCACCTTCGCTGTTTCCTAATGAATTGTGCATTTGATATTTTGTCCAAAGGTCATTATTTTTTTCTATATATGTCTATATACTATTTTTATATATATATATATATATATATATATATATATATATAAAACGTGTGTATGTATTAGAGTAACAAACACCTCCGCTAGTCTTGGGAAGTCGTTCC